ATTGATCATGTTACTGTGTGTATATTCATTTCCAACCTTCGGTTACCGAGTCAACTATGCAGTTTTGTAGGGAACCTTTACCTAACAGTAACGGAGTTCCTATGCGCTGGAGTTCAGGCCGAACCCCGTGTTTAACTTTAAACATCTTTCCACACTTAGACATCTTTTTCTGGAGGGGATTCTGATATATGTACGTTATTGCTGTCTGACGCCTATCGATTAGTTGTATTCATATTTTCCATGATAACAATCACTTTTCATCACTATGTATTTTGCAGTTGGCTTCATGGAGAGTTCGACAAACTAAACGCGGAAGCTATTGAAGCGGAGGTGGAAGAGTACTGGCGAGAGATGCTAAAACTGCACAAACTGTTCACGGCCCGGGTGAAAAAGATGCGAATGGAGCTGGACGAGAAAAGACGTAATCAGAAAAAACGACGACGTGTAGAAGACACCAAGGCTGTCGCAGGTGCTGCGGCGGAAGGAGTAGAAACAGAAGCAGCGGCAGCAGATGCTGCAGCGATTGCTGCCGCAGCAGGAGCCGAACAGGAATTGGAGGAGGATGTGAAACCACCGGCGGCTTTGGATATAATCAAGAATATACAAAATCAGATGAAACATTTTAAGGTATGTCGCAAGATAAATTATTCTTGAGCTTATTTGTAATCTATATCAACTTGTTATATTTGAATTTTTAACTTTACAGTGAAAAGATATAAATCGCGTCGTTCACTTTAAAAATTTATCAAATCGCTTCGTTGAAAAAAGAAAAAAAGATGAAAAAAGTAAGCTACTACTTCGCTGGTTTTACAAATAAAGATGAAATAGCCGAAAAGACAAAATCCGGGTGTCGGAGATATATTGGGCCTGTGATAAGACAAATTTTCGCTATCCCAAAACAGAAGAGAAGATCAGGGATTTTTCGGAGCAAGATAGAATGTGTGTTGGGAAGCAGATTAGAAGTTATGGTGGAAATTTCTCGTTCGTGGCCCAGGCAGGGATAAAAAGTGAGCTTATAATCCACACTGGTGTGCACGTTGAGGCCTTCGATAGTATTAACGTTGGTGCTGAAGTCATTCACTTCGACGTGCTAGAAAGCCTCAGTTGAACACTTGAAAAGTTGCCTGTCTGGAGAGCGCCAATGATCGTTGCAGATTCGGTCAAACATTTAAGGACAAATGCAACAAAATCGTATGTCCATGAGGAAGTAATAAAGAACATTGTTAGGGAATATGAGGTAGGTTGGGCAAAAAGCAAGGACCCCAGTCCACTAAAAATATTCGCGTATAAGTTTATCTGACTCCCTAGAATTGTTCTCACGAGTCCCCAAGTAGAACAAAATGTAATTGGATGAAGTGATTTTGTAAACGGTACTCAGTTGACCCTCGTTCACATTCAATGCTCAAGCACCGTCTCACTGATAGTTCTATTGAACCTCTATGATAAGCGGAAACCTCCAGCAAATGTTATTGGGACGGCTGTGTAGGAATTGATTTTATAACCTCATCCTCTTAACAATGAGAAGTTACCCTTCCCGATTCAGAAATAACACTAAGTCAAATTCAGTCTGAATGCGCGAAAATTGGTGAAGATTCCTTACATAACTCAATACCATGGAAAGAAGCATTTCGATTAGGCGATATAGCGATGTCGAAGAACAATGGGACTACAGGTTTGTCAATATGTTTAAGTACAGCTGACTCTCGTGTATTCGCGGTTGCTTCAATTGTTTACTCAGCATTTTGGGCACTTCCAATCAATCGTTGATTAGCATCAACTAACTCAGCCCATCGAACTAAACTACGCCTCACACCGTGACAAAACTTCTGCCCCTTTTGTAATATCGATACACTCATATCTTTTGCATACTAATGTCCCTTTAAACTCCGGACTCTTCCTTCCAACAACCATTCGCAGCTGAAAGTTTACTTTATCGCTCCACTCGACAGTGCGTTGTCGATTTGCGTCCTTCGATAGTAGTCGCTTATTCGAGGAAGAATCTTTGCCGATAACGGTGTATCCGCACTCGTTTTCGTGTACATTCTAAAAGTTGGTCAAGGCATATTCCCATTTTCAAAAATGTGTCACCATGGTGCGAATTCTTCGCATGCATTAAAATATCCACTGTTGTATCGCTCCGCTGGTCACAGCTGACTGACTGAGAGTTTGCTACAAGTACTGGCTTCTCGTATCTGCTCATTCACTTTGGAACCGTAAATGTTAATTTTGATATTCAAACGCTGTTGTACAGCTCGGTTATCCATTCATCTACAACCTGGCAAGTAACTTTCTGCTCTGTCGCATTCATTCCAAAAGGGAAGGATGCAGAAACCGAACGTTTCTGTCTTCCCATATGTGAACGAACGCCAGCTGATGTGCTTGAGTCTACAGTTCACGATTGTTACTGTATCTCTCACGAAAAAAAACAGGTCGTCTAATTGCATTTTGTTCTAATTTAAGCACTGTGTGCCCAGTTTTTGGCATTCTGGTAGAATCGTCTGCGAGGACTGTTCTGGTGGTGGTGGTGGTGCCGCTACTGGTGGTGAGGTGATAGTTCTGTTATATCAAAAGTGTATCTTTTGGTTTGGAGAATTATGTCTCAAGCAAAAACGGAACCAGAGGAAGCAAAAATTACCATAGATAATGACAAACAAAATCAATAATTCGCTTGATATTCTAACACTTGTTCAGGGCGAGGATTGTGAGAAAGCAGAAAGCAGCTTGCTCTTAATCGAATAAGCAGTGGCCACCGGAAATCCAACCAGAGGGCTTGAATTCATTAAACACATGAGTCATTTGAGCTGCGGAACTTATTCGGACAGTGGCTGGAGCGACTTGTTGATGATTGTTAAGACAGTTGAGTTGTGATGATTTAATCTAAGGGATTTACTTTCTACGACACTTCTATCACGCATTTACGGGAAATTTATTCTTAATGCAGTTCAGAAGTGACTAATCTTAACAATACCTTAAAAGTCTGTTAGTTAAATTAGTAGTGCCCCTTCCCGATTAAACTACATTAAACTATCCATGACATGTAGTTTATAGTTCATCTTACGTAACGATCCCGCTCACTTACAAGTTTCATCAGTGTTTTAATCAGCCCATCCGACCACCGTTATTTCATTTAACCTTTGACCTCTCGTCCTCTCCACGACTGACTACCGCTAACCTAATCAAATGCGCTCCCTCTGTTCACTTATCTTTATCATCGTTATAAACTGAGCTGCAATCGGCCAATCAGATATCCGTACTAAAATAGATAACATTGCATATCCGATAATATGATCATCACAAGATCCCGGATGCCAATGATTTAAAGTTTACCAATTCACCAAAGGGAGATCCCGTGAATCCATGATTCACATGAATTCAGTTAGCCAACAACAAATTGTACTCAGTATTTGTATTCAAAACATTTGCGGAATTGGAGCATACCGGTCAATTTCATTTACACATGATTTCAGCCACAGGAAATTATGTATACGTGGGCCTACATGAAACGTTTTTCTAAACTTGTATCCCGTTTCAGGAAATTGTACCAGTCATTGCAATTCTGTGCAATCCGGGTATCCGCAAACGTCACTGGGACCAGATGTCACAAATTGCGGGCATAGATCTGACACCAGATAGTGGCACATCGTTGGCTAAAATGTTGCAGTTAAATCTGGACCAGTATATGGATGAATTTGCAGGCATCTCAACCGGAGCGAGTAAAGAATTCACACTAGAAACGAATATGAAAAAAATGCGAGATGACTGGGCCGAAGTGGTATTCAGTTTGACCTCGTATCGTGAATCGGGGATTTCGATTCTTGCCTCCGTGGATGACATACAACAAATGCTTGATGACCAAATCGTCAAAACTCAAACAATGCGCGGATCACCTTTCATTAGACCTTTTGAAACAGAGATCAAGGTAAGGAGTATAGCGATGGTATTTCAATTATGGGCACACTTCACGGTTTGATAATCGTTTGATACATACGAGGTTTTATGTTACAAGTAGTGCCGGAGGAGCAACCCTTGTAACTCCACCATATCTCTGCCACTGACTGTTTGAAGGTTCCTCTATATATATATGTATATGGTCGCCTCAGAGGAGGACACACTAAGAACTAGTGGATCCAATCTAAATGCGCTTCCGTAAACCGATTTCTGATTATTGGGAACTCTTTATGGATCAACGAACATCCTTTTGACCAATATGGCCTGTTCAAACCAGTACCTGTCTTGATGGACAAAATGTAACTTTCTCGTGCGTTTCCACTTTGCCAAACGATGAGGTTTTGACGGTCCTGCAACCAAGGTTCATTCCCTGGGAGAGGTATAGTTGCTCAATTTCACAGTAAGGTTACGTTTTCCATTCTGTCCTCGATTCGAGTGGGACTCGGAATATATCCAAATCAATCCTAGGGGAGTGGGGTGCGAAATGCATTCCAAATGTAGAGTGATTCAGTCTGCATCGTTGTTTGTAATGCANAGAAGAGCGTTTAGTTCAACAGAAGTTTTGTCCTTCTTGGGCGGCTATGTTGCAAGCACTAGGAGGGAAAAAATGAACATAATTATATGAAACCGGGTTTATTTTGAGCAAACAGTTGTCCGCCGGAGACTAATTGAAATATTCGGTTTAGATAACAGAAGTGAACGTCGGAGTCCACGGGGGTTAGTTACCACTAAAACAACTCACGGAAGCTCCACTGGGATTTCAAATGGTGTTTGCTAAATCGGCTGTCTACCGGTACCGTTTATGTCAACCCTCATTAACTTATTTCGTGTTTATGCATCCGCAAATATCGTTGGAAGTGTTTTGAACATTGTTCATAGAGAGTTAACTGAGCATTTGAAGCTAACATGTTGAGTAACTGGGACATACATTGGTGTTGATGATTACAAGCAAATTGGCATTAACTGCGTCGTTTCTCCATTATTTTTAACTGTACTTTCTCGTGAGGAATTTACTCTTGGTAAACGATTGCTTGATCGGATTCCAAAAATGTAGCACTACGTGGATAAAAAAAATGGCACAAGAGTTAGTGGAAAAAATAAAACATGGTCAGTTGGTTGAAAAGAAGATTTGAAGCAAAAAATACTTCCAGATAACTAGATTTCCTATTCTGTTGTGTACACAGTCAATGCTGAGGATTTAATGCTCTCCTGTATTCCTTTTTTTTCGTCCATCGTGTGCAGCATTGGGAAGAACGGCTTTTGTACATTCAAGAAACTATTGACGAATGGCTCAAAATGCAAGCCCAGTGGCTGTATTTGGAGCCAATTTTCAGTTCGGAAGATATTATGCAACAAATGCCGGAGGAAGGAAGACTGTTTCAGGTAGTTGATCGAAATTGGAAAGATATTATGCGTAACACGGTACGAGATTCCAGCGTTCTGAAGGTAAGTACCAAGTAACCGAAGAACTTTCATTATCATTATAATTACCACATTTGTCGTTATTTGACGAGACAAAAGCCTGATCCAAGTCGACAGCAGCGGCTTCAACAGCGCCTTCGCTATGTAGTGAAAGATAACACGGCCAACTTTTCTGGTGGCTACTCGGTGAAAAAATGTCGCATCTGAATTCAAGTTTAAAAAATGGTCATTGGAAAATCCTTGTTTATTCTTGCGATAAGAAAATGAATTGGTATTAGTGACCTTTACATGAAATGACGGTCAATGAGGTGATAAACTATATGCAGAGACAATCAGATGTATCCTCCTTATCATTCAGCAATGCTTCAAACGGTATTATAACCTCTAACTTTATTTGTGTTCTTACTTTGAGTATGTACAAACAATTCCACTGAATTTTTCAAAAAACCAGACGTGAGAAATCGATATTACTTATGAGTGGAAATCATACAAACACAGTTACTGATTCCAGGCATTCGGGGACAATTTTCTTTCAGAGCAAAACGTACGAATTTCCGTTGTTACAGAACCATCCGTTCGCTCATCATACTTTTTTCAATCATTTCCTGGACTAGGTATTCGTTCAATCTGATCCAGTGCTTTTGTGGTGACACGAATAATTTTTGTGCTCTCCAATCCATTCATATTTAGTAATTCGCACATCTATAAAATCGTGATCGTTTATCTGGAATTGTACAAAACTTGAGTTATTCAAAATGGAGAATGAACACTTGGAGAATGATTACTATTATTGCTGTTATCATTATTTCTACTTCAGAGGAATGAGTTCAATTCTTTGGGTGCAGTTAAACCTTTTCAGGTGACCTGCATCTATGATTATCTCTGTTCATTAGAACATCCAATTGTCTATCGTAACGAATGATCGAACATTAAATTCCATCAAAACTTGTACATACACATTAGAGACGATAATTCACCTTCGGGTTGTATATTAAATGACAGTATAGATGATCCTATGCTCCACCGCTTTCCCACATAATGTTTGGAATAACAATTCTAGTTTTACAGTGGTAAACGTGACATACGCATGTGACATTATCACACTGGTACTCACGCGATACAATTAATGTTACAGCGTACATCGCCTCGAATTCAGATGCTTTAATATATTTGTGTTACTTGGAACAAATTGCTGTCCCATGAAACCGAATTCCATGCAGACCACATTTCCCTAATTAAAGTCACAAGGAACAGCCTGATCAGTAATTTCTCTTGGAAACATGGAGTGATAAGCTGAAACGGTCAAGAATTTTGCCAATACTGTCAGTATATAGCGGTGCCTGAGAGCTAATCTAAAAGTTTCCTTGCACCACCATCAGCACCACGCAAGCAATGGGTTTTCCAACAATCACTGAAAAATAACACGAATGAGCGAACGCCTGTGTTCCCGCATTCATTAAATGGACAAACACAACATGAAGTGGTGAGAAATTTGAATAGAGAAGCCAAAATAGGTTTGCACAATGCATCCTGTATCATTTCGCTGCATACTTGCATACTTCAGAATCCTCTACAACACAAACAACACCAAAGTTCTGAAATACGCCGAGGCACTGGCCGTTCAAAGTTACCATCCCCGATTGTGTAAACAGCGTGAATTTCTTACTTCTCTGGTGCTACCTTGGTAACAAATATGTTTGATGAGTAATTTTGACCGCAATCTTTCTCCACCTAAGGTTCTCTTATTTACTGAACATATATCAGTGATCACATGAACCTCAGTGTACAGATGCAGCGAAATGATCCAGGATACATTATGCAAACCTGCGTTGTAGGCTTCTCTATTCAAACATGGACTGAGTCAGAAATCCTCAAAGGATCTGCTAAAAGGCTACGTTTTGTCACATCGATTTGATAAAATACCTAAAAGGAGATTTTCGGTTAACCATGTTTGGGCTTTTGCATCATAGTTTTGATTGCTCCCCTTCGGCGACGTATTAGAGGAAGGTAATGATAAAATTATAGGGCTTATATGTAAGACCGAAGAAAATGAATGTATGGAGGAAGGCGATGGACGCAGTAGTGACACTTCACACTGTCCACTGTCTTCAACATGACGAAATTCGCCGATCAAAGTTCGCACACCACACGAAGTTAGTTTGGTCTCCTCTGATCTGCTTTTAACTAGGTTTCTGGCTCGATACATGTCACACTTCGAGTACATGTGTACCACAGGCCTTAGTGGATTCAATTCGTGAAGGTTGTTACACGCAATCTGGTTTGCGACCGCGACTGATCTATATTCGTCTACGTTACGCTCGTCCGGTTATTCAACCAGACAGCGCAGTCAGCATTGCTCGTACACCGATAACTTCCATTGGTTGTTTGCAGTTGACGGCTTAGGCTGTAAACCTATTTGATAGTTGCAGCGTACATCCTATCCGCCACGGATAGATGGTTATCCAAAGTGAACAACGACCAAACGATGCCGTTACATGACTGAGAACAATTCTATGAAAATGTTTCTGACGAACTTTATACAACATACCCAATTACCAAAACTCGCCAGTTTGTTGCACTGCTCTTTTTCTGACGAACAGATTTTGGCTTGGATCCGTCCGAGGATATCTGAAAGCAAACTGATAATGAAAGTAAAGAATTCGTTGTATGTGAATCAAATTCTATTGAAAATATTCTTTACATTCCGACTGTAACAATTTCGCTGAAATTCTATACAGTATTTATACTTTGCCTATATACATATAATTAAAATCGACTTGTAGACAAGCATGGTGCGAACGCCACAGCAATAATAACAAGAACAAAAATGAGGGGCAAGTGGATTGGGATACAGAATAAAGTGGAAAGATTGAGAGAAATGGTAGATAAATGGGTGACAAATGTTTTTGTGTGTTTCACCGTACACTTTTTGATACTTTTTTGTGTTTTTCGTCGTTTACCTAGCGGTGAAGAAGTGAAGCACGTCGATAGAAGATGGATGAAATAGATTCTCCTAAAATAACACAGGGGGCAGAGAAAATGCAACCGTGTGAAATGGAACATACCAAATGACGTGCAGTCTGAAATGAAAACGTAATTCACGGCGCATTGTAAACCATACTTTTCTCGATCATATCGTCTGATCTTCTATCTATTGACAATAACAGCAATGAGAATTCTCATTCTACGTGGATCTGAATCCTCTCCTATGACTATCCTCCCCCACACACTGTTCTGCTGTGCCTTCTCTATCTCAATAGGCAACTTCATTTCCGGGGATACGTGAACGTTTAAAAGATAGCAATGCATTGCTGGACAAAATTAACCGGGGGTTGAATGCGTATTTGGAGAAGAAACGATTGTTCTTCGCTCGGTTCTTCTTTCTGTCAAATGATGAAATGCTGGAAATTTTATCCGAGACAAAAGATCCCTTGCGAGTACAACCTCATCTGAAGAAGTGCTTTGAGGGTATCGCCAAGTTGGAATTTGACAATCGTCTGGATATCAAAGCAATGTTCTCGAGTGAAGGAGAACGAGTTGCCCTTAGTCAGGTATGTTAGCTATGTCGAAATTGATGTACGAAGTACAATAAAAATCTATTGACATTTTTGTGCTTATGCAAAGAAAACAACCTTTTGTCTTCCATCGGAACTCTAAACATATTCATCAAGTATATGCAATTATTTAATCATTTGTTTCCGGCAAAGTTAGACAATTACCCTTCAGTCGTTACCTGTGCTGAGCGTTACCCTTAACAACCAAAAAGAGCTAACGGAAACGTCTTGATAATCATTCATTGCGCAGAGAGAGAAAGAAAGCCTAAAGACAGGCGGCAGGAATAGTCCAGGTTAGATGAGGGCAGCACGCGGTGTCGGTAGTCCCAAAAAATAATAGATAAATTAACGAGATAAAATCTGACACGGAATCAATGAGGCCATGAAAGAGACATTTAGTAACGTTTTGGTCTCCTTGCAGCGAAAACTCTCCAAACCCTGACAACAAACTGAATTTTTCCCCAGAATTTTACTGGTGAATGTAATCCCATAGTCATTGCTTTTTCAGTCCAACTATTCCAAGTCTAAATTTCACCTTCAGTTTGCAAAATCATAAACATTCCAATTCTGTTTCTGGTTTGGCAATGAAATGAAGATTGTCATTAGACAAAAAAAGGAGAAAAAAACGAGTTTTTATTAATACGTAACCATACCGTTGGCTTTTTATTGCGCACAACATCTTAGCAAAATAAATGGATGTTTTCCAACTCTATGGTTTACGTTTTAACGTGTTCTTCTCGAGTAATGATACCATCAGTTTATCTCGTTGTCTGTCTGCCTTACATACGCCTCGATACCGTGAACCTGCTGGTGAACATGTGCATGTTTTGCTTTAGGCATTTTACTACATTCGTGTTTTCCGACCGCATGCCTGTCGACGATTTTTTAGACTGCATTTAACAAACATTTAACATGATGCACGTGATCCAAGATGAACTGGAACGATACCAGAAATTAAATGAGCGGCATTTGCGTTCACATAGGTCACCGGTAAAATGTCTGCTTTTATAGAAAGTACTCATTCACGATATTAAAGAGTTTATGGCTGTATGCGAGTAATTTTAGCATATCTCCTGTTCCTCGAATAGAGCATTCAGGGCTTGATACTTAAAAGATTTTTAATACCATGTGTTGGCCTGTCAGAGGACGGAAATATAAGAAAATCCTGTTTAGTAAAGCAGTATTCCGTGTAGCACGCTTAATTGTTCCTGGAGGATACCTGGGAAATGAGTTGTGTTCCATGTAGCGATACTCGTGCATTGTGTGGTAATCGGTTCGATTTGTGGTGTGACATTTCCAGAAAACGGCAACCAGAACTCCATTTGAGCTTATTTGAATGAATTTTCCTCACATTTTATTCTCGAGTCCTTTCCCAAGTTGTTTAGCGAGTGACAGTTTGTTGTGTCTTAACTTTCCTTTTTCCCACTAATTATGGCTGTTTGAGAATCCTGGTTGGAACTGCGTCCGTCCGACAAAGATTTGAAATAACTTTGGTGAATGATGTCCAGTGCCAAGTCAAACGCGACCTAATGATCGTAAATTCTTCCCGCGTTTTGACGCCTGTGATGAGCATTCGTCTTAATGTAGCGTGTTACTTCCCTTCCCTGCATCCAGTTGGTTGCTGTCTGCTGTCTACTTTTTTCGTTCAATCCCATAAAGCCATAATTTTAATTTGAATATTCTGGCACGGATAACATGACAGGACTTCAGTCATCCAATCTACTTTTAGAACATCTGAGTTAACAGTGAATGACGTGCTTTTCGGAATGCAGCATGAACATATGGTGTTATAACAGGGCAAACTACATTCGTCCTCTCACCATGTGGCACGGTGATATTTCTTTGTAAAATATTTTTCGTATATATACATATATATATATATATATTTAACACCGGCTTGAGAACAAGCATGGTG